GTGGTATATTCCCTGGAGCAGTCTCCAAAGGCCAAAGGTCAGTAATATGCACAAAGCAGATGCTGGATACGCCTTCCAGACATTTTCCCAGGGAGATCATGTAAAGACGTGGGTGAGTAGATTTCCTCCACCACATCCTCCCACCATGGCTTTCTGCCTCACCGCAGACCCAAAGCAGTGGAACCAGTAAAACCATGGACTGCAACCTCTGAACTCATGAGCCAGAAATAGATCCTTCTTCCTTTCAGTTATATTCTCAGTTATATTCTTCAGCTATATTTCAGTTTATATTCTCTTATATTTTGTCACAAAAATGGGAAGCTAGCAGAGAGGCCCACGTGAGTTCTGTGTTTGTGACATATTTCCTGTGAGTGCTGTGTCTGAGAATATATATGTAGCCAGTTATCAGAAAGTGAATAGGAACTTGAGCTCCAAATGAGAGAGGCCTGAGCTGGTTTCACCAAGGTGAATGGTAAAGTCATCATCGTGCTTTTTTTCATCCTTTAGAATGTTCTATATAGCTGTTCTATAATATATATAAATATAATACACATATATCATCACTGTCAATTTTTAAAAAGAATCCAAGATACATTATTTCCAATAAAACAAAGACCTGAGACTGGTATACGTAAAACACCCCTCAAACTCCTGCTCCAAGTAGCTCAGTCTTCCACAACACATTTCCTTCTCCTCCTCTGAAATGCCCATCCTAACTCCTAGCACTTCAGGGTTCAAAGCTGAGGCTGTGATGCTATGACCTGAAATCCAGCTTCGAATTCCTGTGACATGTGGAGTGGGCCAGTTGTCACGGCCCACTCTTTCTAACTTACTCTCACTGGAATTGATTTCTTCTATCAGATTAACTTGTTGTCACTTTGGAAGGTGTGCCAGTAAAGGGCAGCTGGGTGTCAGTCACTGTCAGACGGTAAGGATGGGAAGCTGGGTATGATGCAGGTGAGTCTTCAGCTAAGGGAAATTCAGAGGTATGCAGTTGACACCCCTATTTAAGCCACGAGTGGAGACAGCAGGCAGAAGGAGACCAAAGGAAAAACACAATTTTCTGTATTTTGTCTCAGAACAGGTTTGCCCAAAAGTGCAGGACTTGGCAAGTGAGCCAGAATTGCCTGTGAAGCTTGTTTAAAATGAAGATCCCAGCCATCTCCCCTAAAAGATCTCTTCCCTAAGAGATGCTGGAGGGAAGCAGGGCCTGATAACATACTTCCCAGGTGAAACTGGCCTAACCATTGTGAAACAATGAGGAAGGTCCGTGGGGTTAAAAATCTCACCCTAAAAAGTAAAGTGTTCTCCTGCTTTCATAGCTGTGTGGCTTCAGGTTGCTTACTCTGCCTCTCTGGACACATCACACCAGTGAGATAAGATTGACGGTCCAGAACAAAATGCTGATGAGGTTATTAAGGTTGGGCTTTTTCTGAGTAAAGACAGAAGCAGGTTGATGGGACCCCAATGCACATTTTTTCCCTTTCTAAGAGGAGATCTGGTGCTCTGCAGATGATTTTTGACCCTAGGGTTGTACAGTAGGTTCTTCTGCCTCCTAAGCTTCTGCCAATGCTCCTGGTCCTGGAGCAGCAGGCCTCTGCGAGTGTGCTCCACTGCCCCCTGGTGGTCGCATCCAGGAAGGTGAGTAGCTTCTCTGCTATTCAGCTTTATTTCAGGGTTTGAGCAAAGGCACTGCCTGCTGTCAGGCCAAATACAGGAAGAAAGGGATAAACCTAGGGGATGATTTCTGGGGCTACCCCAACTGCTTGCTGGAGCTGGGGCCATCTCTCTGGAGCAAGATTCTGCAGCTCAAAGATTTCACAAGCCTCCTCTAGACAGGCTCCCTAGGAACCACGGGATGATGGCTGTTTTTAGAGCTTGAAGAGATGAGTTTGACCCACAAGATAACTATACATATGGGTGGGGTCATGAAGAAGCAGCCCTAAGGGGGCTGAAAGGCCACCCTGGGAAAGCACACTGCAGGCTCCCTGCAACTGACTTCAGTTTCAGCGTGATGAAGGATCTGGAGGCTGCATCAGAACCCAGCGACCTAAAGATGGCTCCGCAAACGTCTCCACCTAAGGTCTGCACATCAGTGCTGTCATCTGCAGAGCTGAAACTGCCCAAACATGCACATCATTAGAAGCATGTGAGTCCTACATCCTGCATCCCGGGAGTCACACTGCCACAGGCCTGGCTTCTGCACCTCTCCTTGCAAGCCTCAGGTTGCCCTCCTCCAAGGGCCACGTCCACCACCAACTGTATTCCCTGCTCCCTACAATGAAACACTCCACCCTATTCCTTGTTCTCCAAAGCCACCCCAACTTTTGCCTCAAGGCAGAGCCTCAGTTTGGCCATTAGATTTCATAGTGAGCCTACTAGTGTCAATGGAGAATTCAGGGTGGGATAGTGGGAGGAGCCATAGAGGGCTGGGCACCATCCTCTAACCAAAACTACATGGTCTGGACATAGTGTGACCACAGAAAGAAGACATGGTAGGATGTCCATCGTGCTACTGCATCCCTGCATCCCAGTGCCAGTTCTGTGGATTGAAGACTTCCCTGTACACAGGCCACCTGTGGTCACTCACTCAAATGTCTGCAAAGACGGAGGCCAGAGCCAGGCTCCCAGAGCTCTGCACCAGGCTGCTAGATGGCATCTAGAGGAAGAGAGCAAGTGGCTCCTGGGTCATCCTCACCACTCTCTGCTAGATAAACTGTTCCAGTGTAAGCTCTGCCATTATTTCCACAAGTAGGCTGCCTGGTGAGCACAGTAAGCACTGATCTGCAGTGAGCTGTGATGTGTGGGTGCCCACTATAGCCACGAAGCTGTCTTCAAGTGTGAAGCTCATTTCTGTTGTCCTCAGCATCCTCCTGCTGGAGGCAATCATTTTGGAGTTGCAGTCATCTGTCTTGCTCTGCTCAGAAATTCTCTAAACCCCCACAGACCAAAGACTATTTCTTCTGCCCTGCCCCCTGCTCTGCTTTTTCTTTCTTTAATCTATCTATTGTTTTTAAAGAAAATAAGCTCCATGTCCACTTCAATTTCAAATGAAAAGGCTCACAAAATTATAAAGATGAAAGTGAACACATTGTTCTTAATGAACCAAGTCTCCATAAATTGTTTTTAGCATAATTCATCCCATTTTGCACTTAGAAAGAAGACAGAGAAAGCCCTGTTTAGAAGCAAAGGGACAAAAACCCAAAGAGGCCGTGTCAGAGGTGGCAGAAGCCAGATTTGATCTTCTATTTCTGATCTAAGTTTTCCTTACTTTACACAAAGAATCCGATCGTCTTACATCTCCTCTTGTTCCTAGTGGGTTTTCTTTGCATGAGGCCCTGATGCCATTTCCTCTCTGCGGCTTCAGTCTGGAGGGTTGAGTGTACAGACAGGTACAATGGGAGCTTATCGTTATGTGCTAGCAGCCCACGGAGTAAAGTCTCACACCAGCTTGACCAGGTGGCCTGGACTGTGTCCCACTGGAAGGAAGTGCTTACTTATTCCAATTTCCTTTCTGCCCCACAGCCCATCTTCACAAGGACTCTGCTCAGTGACCCTGCTGTGCGTGGGCTCACAAAGCTGACCTTTCTCTGCTTCTTTCCTGCCCCACTAAATTCACTGTCTCACTGGAAACATCCTGAACAGGCACAGCTGAAAGTATCTCCCACACCTGCCCTTGCCTCGCTCTCCCTCTCTGGCCGATGTTTCTCCTTGGCCTTCTCTTCCTCTACTGCTCTTTCTAACCTGTAGGCTGTGTGGACCAGAGCTCTGCTTGTTTTTTTGTTTGGTGTTTTTTTTTTTTTTTTTTCTCTTCCTGTCCATTCACACACTCGCAAAGATCTCACCCAGCCCCAGGGACTCTAATGTCATATATATTCTCTGAAGACTCCTGATCTAACTACATATGACATCTCCACTCAGTGTCAACTAAGCACACTGAAGGTAACAGAGTAAAATCAGACTCTCATTTCTCCTCATGCTTGATTTCCTGACTGTCTCAGTGGTGCTCCAAAAGAGGCCACTCTGTCTTCTGGCTCTGTCTAATTTTCTGTCCTATGTTCAATCTAATCTACCAAGAAATGCTATGGCTCTGAAGCCTCTATACTTCTAAAATGCAATGCAATCCTGACCTCCCTTCATCTTCTACCTTGAGGATTGCAAACACCACCTGACTTGCCTTCCTGCTTCTCCCCTTGCAAAAGACAGCAGCTTGATGGACCCATACAAACTACATTAAGTCATATCTTCCCTCTACCCAGCACCTTCAGGGCCCCTCACTAGCCCACAACCAGCGCCCCACACTGGCCCTCATACAAACAGCCATGCACCTCAGTCCATCACTGGCCCCAGTGTTTCCACCCACGCTAGTGCAATCACAAGCAGCAACTCCTTGTAGCAAAGGCCCACTCTCATGCACTTGCCTTATCTGGTCCTTGTCCTTCTATCCCCTCTAGGCTACTTCTTCCTCTTTGGCCACATTTTACTCCCCACCACCAGAGTCTCATTTAAAATACTTTTCCCTCAAATAGGCTATGTTTCCTTACTTGTGTCCTTCAGTTGCTGTTTTACCCGTCTGTTCACCAAACTATGCCTCCTATACCCCTTCACAGGACCACTCACTTTCTACCTGGCCCTGTTGACCCATCTTCACAGCAGGGCCACAGCAGGTGATCCCAGCTGGAGGTTACCCTTTCCTTGTCTTACTCTCCTCCTTAGAATGGAAGAAAGTGTCTTGAGCCCAAAGCTCTTGTCTTTGTGCCTAAGGCTCCAACTCCAGGTCTTAGAACAGCCCCTCCCAAGTGGCAGATACATTCTAGGTATTTGTCAGAAGAATGAATGAATGACTGCCAAATAGCTGGATTCAAGACAAGTCCCAAACCTGGAACTTTTCTCTTCCTGGGAACCTCGGAAACCTATCACATCTAGTTACAATGCACACGGAGGGCAGCTTGGATCAATGGAAACTAAATAAATGTTAAGAATCATTGTCAGTTACTCACATGCTGGTTGGACATGCAGAAGACGTGGCATTTGGTTTGGACTGCATCACTTCAGCACGTCTTGGGACTCCCCAGAGCCTCTGTTTCTTTGTTGTTAGAATAAAAAACATGTGTCAGGTCGCAGAAAGGTGACAGCACAAAAGAACAAACTAAACAAACTGAATCATCAGGAGAGGGAGTGCTTTGCTGCAGTCCCACCTTCCCAGGGGCCAGAATCATCAGAGATCTCACAGACTTACCCAATTCATGCCTGTGTTGTAAGCTCTGGAGGATGGACAGACTCGTGGACAAAGAGGTATTCATGTCCCATAGAGTGCTGTCCTTACAGAGATCACTGACCTTGAAATACTACAGAGCAATTACCTTAGCTGTAAGCAACACACATCATCTCATTCATGGTCCTTGGCCACTCACTGACCAGTGAAAATCCCTTCTACCTATAGGAGTAGAAGAAGGAAACTCAGAAGGAACACGCTTGAAGGTATAGAGAACACAAAGCACCCATTCTGGGCTCATCTGTTGGCTCCATGAGAGCAGCAGTAGCCCTGCAGCTCCATCCTGGCCCCACTGCCTGCCTCCCACAATGCCAGGCATCTTCCATAGGAATGATGTTTACGTGGATGAAAGGACCAGGTCATAGAACTGTGTGGGAATTCAAAAGATCAACTCACCTTGGCAAGCTAGGATTGATTTCCTCACTCTCCTGGAAAAAGGACCTCTGTGCTCAAGGTAGCCCTTATTCTCAGTAGTCACCTGTACTCATGTCTGGGCTATAATGAGCACTTCATAAATATATGCTGGGCAAATTAAGATATGAACAAATAAATAAATGAAACACACCCATATAAATGAACATATTTATTCTGATCCACTTCCCATCACAGGAACTCAGCTCTATCTTGGTTACTATCAGCTCATTTTCTTCTTGGAGACTGACTTTGCAAGGTGCAAGGTTATGAAAACAAATGTGGGACCAGGGTTCTGTCTAAAACTTAACCTCCATATCCCTCATCCTTAGTCAGCAACACAGTCACTAAGTTCTGCTTCCCAGAGTTGCACATATACTGAGTTTATAATCAGAATCTAGCAGAATCTATTTTAAATATATGAGGACTACAGTACATATGAATATGCTAATTAACTAAGTTTAATAGTTCTCATTTGTATTAATGCAAATTAAGCAGCTGCATTTCCCACCAAATATTTTCTTTGGTATTTACTGATGAAATCAAGGTCCTTCTAATAAGTTCTAATATTTAATCTAAAAGCTCTAAAGAAGGTGCTTTAGTTGAGTATAATCTAATTTCACTGAACAAAATTGCATCTAAAAGCAATATAAAGTTACAATTTGTTCCTTGTCAAATAGTAAAAATGGCCTTTAAATTTTACATGGTTTTGACCTTTGGTTTTTGCATTTCAATTAAACTTCCCTCAGAGCCCAGAGGATCAAATGTTCCCTGAGTGTGAATTAGGTCCTACAAGAGGTAGTTACTGGCCTTCAGTTTCTTTCCTTTTCAAACTGATGTCTGTCCCTCTTTTGACACAGAACGAAAATTTGCTCCCTTGGTAGCTGGTGCATAGGTAAAAAGAAATATTAGGCCTGGCCAATATCTTATCTTTAAGAGTTGGAATTTCTATGGTCAGACTTCAAAGTTCATTCCTGGATGGAAGCACCATCTGGCCAGACTCCCTCTCAAAGGTCTCAGAATGACCCAGCCTCCTCTCTAAGCCACTGTCAAGCAAGGATTTTGAGCTTTTGCAATACCTGTTGGCAGCTTTCATTTTATTCATCCTAAGCAAAAGCCAGAGGTGAGGTCATCTTTTAACTTTTGATGGAATCAAATACTCAAGTCTGAGAGGCAGTGACACCGCTCAAAATCCACTCTCCCCTCCTTTCTTGGTATTATAGTTGTATTTTTATTCAAGACAAGAATGTTCCCAGCTAAATACCATGTTGACCAGTGTCCTTTGCAACTAGTAAAATAAAAAATTAGGCAAAGTCCTGAATTCTGATGACACTGTAGAATCACCATACTAGCCCTGGATGCTACCTCCAGGCATCTTTATGAAGAAATCAAATACATTTTCCTGTTACATGCCTCCGAATCTAATATTAATTCCTACAAAATTAAAGTATACAGCACAGTTCCTGGCACATAAGTGCAACATACATTACGGCAATCATTCAAACATCAGACGGATGATTGATCAATATGACAGGTTGCTAAAACCAACAAAATACAGAGATAGAGACAGAGGCTGAGACAGAAAAAGAAACTGAATATTTCCAAAGATAAAATGATAATTTAGAACACTGCCTTCATCAATTTTGAATTACTATAATAAAAGACCTACTTTATAAGGAAAAATAACTAATTTAGCTGACAGTAGGGGAAGCTGAAAAGTGCAAATAGAGGGCTACACCTGGTGACAGCCTCTTGCTGTGTGCTAACATGGCAGACATACCACGTGGTAAGAACTTGTACCAGAGGGCAAGTGGCACTTACCAGAGAGGGCAGCACATGCCAAAGCCTTACTCTGTGATAACCTGGTTTGGCAGTATCTAATCTGGTTCTATGAGACCTAACCCACTTCCATAGATGGGCATTAATCTTCCCCAGAAATGGTGCTCCCATCACCTCATTATCTCCCACCAGGCTTCACTTCTTTAAGATTCACCTCTCAACACAGTTATATTGGGAACCGACCTTCTGGTGCACAAACCTGTGTGAGAATAAACCATGACTAAACCACACCAATCAAAAATAAGAATAGCAAATATTTACTGAGTTTATCAGCACCACACATCATTCTGAATATTTTACACATATTGGCTCCTTTATATTCCCAATAATTAAGAAAGCACTAGGAAAGTTATGAGTCCTCAAAAAATATGTGTTAAATAAACAAATAGGACAAGTGAAGTAAGTCTTGCTTATCTGGACCTAAGCCTGACCCAGTTACTACCCCGAGCATCCAGTAGTTATGAACCTATGGCACATGTACTTCAGCAGGCTGTTTGAATTATTAAAAGCTCTAAATGATTCAGCCATCACTGATTTAGGCCAAGTGATGTAGTATCAGTTTAAGGTCCATAGACTACATGTCTCTATGACCATAGCTTTCCCAAAGTTGATATCAATTTATCTCCAATTTAGTGGGAAATTCTTGTGTGCAAGGATTATTTCTTCTCTGCCCTCAAAGAAATTTTATTAGTGCATCTTCTTCCTGAGTCTTGTAAATTTGTTGCATTCTTAGCATGTTTACCTCTCCCCTACTTGGGTGGTTGTTACAGGATAAAGACTTTGGCAGGGCACCACATCAAAGATAAAATCGCCCTCAGTTGCTATTTGCCACACCTTAGAGAGCGACCTCATAAATTTCTGGAGCTTTCCGATGACCCCCTAAGAACTTGAAATATGAACAGTTCACACTATTTTATATAAAATACTGTAAGCATCAGAGGAGTTGTGACTTCTTTCATTCATTCAAATGTGTGAATCCCCTACTATGTGCTAGACATTGACTTACGGAGATACAAGGAGAAACATAGCATATGAACTTAAGAAGATTAAGAATCTGGGGGGGTAATAGGCACAAAAAATAAGTAAAAATAGTACCATGACTGATATAATGAAAATGAGTATCAGATATTGGAACTAATCACAAGAAATGTGCTATTAATACTGCAAGGGTGAGGCAGTAAAGGGGAAGCACTAGAGGAAAAGAACAGTTACAGAGTTGCTAAGAAAACTACATTTTGGGGAGCCAGAGCGTTAAGTGTCACGGCTTCATAATGCTTTGAGTAGGTAGGGTGAGCTACATTTCCCATAGTTTTTTTTTTTTTTTCCTTGTGTTCTTAGTAACCAGGTCCCCAAAGGAGATTCCTGGAAGAATTTGAGGTATAAGAAAGGAGAAATGAACCAACAACCATTATGTAGTTCACATTCCTTGTTTTCAACCTGCTGATTCACCTCAATGGCATGAAGCAGCGACTGCTACCCTCTCTTCCTTTGGTCTCCTTTTAGCTGCTCTAGCTCTTGGGCGAGGAGTGTGTGTTTAGCTTCATGATGGAAGAACCTAGCTTTTGCAGGATAATCTGTCACCAAGATTAAAGGGAAAATGTGTGAACACAAGTGGTAGTCTGGTTCATGGGGTTTCAATTTATGCTATGGGCTGCAGCCTGGTAATGATCTTCCTTTCTCAGCTGCCTGCTTTTGGAACTCAATTTCTAGCAATAGATGAGGAAACTATAGCCTTGGAGAGACTGCTTCACCAGTACCCACATGCATCTAGCCTTGTAACACACATACATATTCATATGTCTCACTAGTTCTGCTTTTCTGGCTAAACCTTACCAACACAGAATTTGGCACCAGATGTTTATGTTTGTGGTGCTGCAACCACATCTAACATGTGGGAGTGTCCTAAAGCAGGCAGGTGGTAGAGACTGGAAGAACTTTGGCAAGAACAACAGAAAGGGTCTAAATACCCCAATGAGACTGTTAGCAGACATGTGGACGGGAAAGATGTTGCCAAAAAGGACTCAGAAGGAAGGAACACATTCCTGGAAACTGAAGACACTGTAGTTCTCTGTTATGCAGGAAAAGAAATCTTAGCCACATTTTCATCTACTGTGAGGAGAAAGCAGAGCTTGTAAAGTCTGAATCTGGTTATCCAGCTCCAGTGATTTCCAAATTGTTGAAAGTACCCCTAGGTGCCGGTTATAGTAAAATGTGAGAGAAGAAAGATAAATTGGGAGAGAAACTGTTCGATTAAAATAAAAAACAGGACTTAGTAGTTTTGAAAATTCTTAGACTTGTTAGTTGGCAAAAGACATTGAAACAAAGAAATTACTTCTAAGCCCTGTCTAGGAAAATGTGTAATAAAGATGAAGTCACTCTCTTCTCTGAGCTCCCTGAATGACCTCCTGACTAACTACCTTTCTCAGTGTCCAATTCCCAGGAGCCCACCTAAAATGCCTCCTTAATTTTTCTTGAAATCCAGGAGTTTGAAACCTCACCACATCCTCCCTCACACACCAGAACCCTACTTTGGTGACCAGGCCATCCCATGGAAACCAGGC